GATAGGTATATTATATAATATAGGTAATAAGTCTTTAGGCTACTAGTATATAATATATCTTTATTATATATATATATTTAAAATTAAAAGGCTTACTTAACTTAATATTTAGTAGTTTATAGTTAGCCTTAAATAAGGTATTTTATCTTATTATATTAGTAGTATAATACTACTTTACCTTAATAATAATATAATAAAATATAATAAATATAATATAAATATATTTATTTAGTTATATATTATAATAGTTAAGGTTATATAGGCTAGCTAGTTATTAGATCTCTTACTTATCTAATAGAAGGTCTTTTAAGTATATAGTTAAGCTAATATATAAGACCTATTAGTTTAGTATAAATCTCTTATTAAGATCTATAACTTACTTATTATTTTTAACTTTTTTCTTATATACTTTAGTAAAGAATATTATAGTTATATATCTTATATTAACTTAGTTAAGTATAATATTAGTATTAACCTATACTTTAAAGTAATAACTACTAAGGCTAGAGGAGAATAGTTATTAGTAAAATATTTTTTTTATTTATAACTCTTATTCTTAATCTTATAATATATTCTTATAAGGTTATCCTTATATACCCTTATAGTACTAGTTATATTATTTATAAATATATTTATATATATATCTCTTATTTTTTATAATATACCTATACTTAAAAATTATCTTATATTATAGACCTTTCTCTAATAGTATACCTAGCTTTAGTATTAGTTACTAGTTATAAGGAATATTAATTATATTTATAATATCCTTTTTATTTTAGAATATATTTTATATAGATACCTATTATTAAAGTTATTAATATTTAATTTAGAGTTTATTATATAAACTCTTAAGAAAGTAGTGCTAGACCTTTAATCTAAGAATAATAATCTTATATATTTTATATATAAGGACCTTATACTTAGTATTAATAATAATATTATTTATTTTAGTATAGAAATATATACTAGGTATTATATATATAATAGTATATTATTTATAAAAATTATTATAATAAATATTAACCCTTATAATATTAGGATTATAATAGTAATATAAAAATTTATATTAAAATTAAGGTAATATAGTTATATAAAAATAGCACTACCTAGTTTTAAGATATTAGGTAA